TTTCTTTATTTTATCAATAAAAAATATTTAAATATATTTTTTCATAAATAAGCAGAATTAGTCAACCCAGCCACTTCAGCCTGAAATTCATAAATTTATGTAAAATCGGTCGATTCATCCAAATTCAATGTTACCAAATGGGTTCACAGTTTTAAAGTACGAAGAGGTGTACAGATGCCATGATCGTTTATTGGGAGGAGTTTTGGAAGATCAAAGATTTTTTCTCATATTGGGAGGAGTTTTGGCATCTTAATAAGTTTCATTTATTTAATTTAAATAATAATTGTTAGACACATCATTAAGATGCCACATGTCAATTATTGTTACAGATGGGATGCCACATGTTGATTTTTCATATAAAGAGGCTGCCACATGTCAAAATTTCTTTATTTCTTTATAGGCTTCCTTCAAATGTTTCCTTTATTAAATTATATAGATATATATTTCTTCAAGTTTCTCTAAATATCTCTAGACTCTAGTTACTTTTTTAGCATGTTTACTTTTGATATGATAGTTATACATATACACAAACCTTGTAACTACATGCAATTAATAGTCCTATGGGTCTAATAGAAAAGTTATTCACTCCGATCATTGATGCCAATTCAGCTCAACTTCTCCTTGATCGAAAGGTTCGCTCGGGCCGTTGTACCTTTTGATTATAGGGAAAAGGTGCAAATAGGCCCATGTACTAACCAAAAAAGGTCAAATAAGCCCTTATTTAGGAGGCTCTTTCCGGCCGTCGTCATTTCGGGTGGTTCCCGGTGGAATTTTTTGATGAAATTTTTTGAGTATCTTATTTATCAAGCCTAGTTTACTCATACCAAATTTCATATAAAACTTCAACCGGGAAGTCATTCAAATGAATTCTTGAAGATAACTGCGCTTCTAACTGCGCAATTATTTTCAAGAATTCATTTGAATGCCTTCCCAATTGAAGTTTTAGCTGAAATTTGGTATGAGTAAACTAGACTTAATGAATAAGATTCTAAAAAAAATTCATCAAAAAATTCCACCGGGAACTACCCCAAATGGCGACGGCCGGACAGAGCCTCCTAAATAAGGGCTTATTTGACCTTTTTTGGTTAGTACATGGGCCTATTTGCACCTTTTCCCTTGATTATATTAGATTCATTGCATTGCATCAATTCCAAAATAGGACTTCCATGTTTTTATTCCCAAAATAGGACTAATTACTCTCATGTTTTGGCGGTACCAGACTTCAAACATGACAGTATTTTTCAAATTTGGCAGTAATTAGTCCTATTTTGGGAAAAAAAACATGACCGTCCTATTTTGGAATTTTCAAACTTTTTTAGTTCCATTTCAGGAACTTTCCCTTAAAAAAAAAGTTAAAAATCTCATCTAGAAGACTAGATCCAATAGACGGAGTATTAAAAACTCCCAGTCGGAAGATCCCTTTCCGACTTACGTTATCTTAGAAAACCTAACAAAATGCCCGTGTTTTGGCACTCCTTGTTGACAATTCCCGCTATCTAAGAAAACACCCCTGATCTAGTTCATTTAGATCACCATTTATAAGTATCACCACCATTAGTGAGCCTCACACTCACATTGGTGGTAGCTTAACATTTATATACTAGTATAACTGTGTACATTGTTCTAATATATCTTTTAGAAGTCAGTAAAACATAAAAGTATGTCCCTCTATCTTTAATTAGTGGCAATTTTGTTATAACCTTTATATGTAAATATCATGCATGCATTTCACTCTACACCTATTATGAAACTTTTTCTTAGTCTCATCATAACCTTCGTGGGAGTTTTTTTTCTTTCCAATGCACTATCATCAGAAAATAGAAAAAATGCCACATAATTAAGAACATTTCTCCATTAACACTGAACACTTGAGTCAACGGATCAGAATGACCACACATATGAAGAAAGTTGATGTCCTCAGTTAGTGATATATCTCTCATATTCGCTATCTGAGTCTTAGTTGTAATAATAATAATTAAGGGTAACATTATCTCAACCTTTGTGGAGGAGACATGCAAAATTATATTATCTTCAATGTATTGGCTCTACTCACACCAGTGTTGGAGTTAGAGCTTACTACCCTACAACTGGAAATGAGAGTCCTTAAGAGAAAACAAGATTCTAGTGTAATGTCCTAAAAAAAGTCGTATTGTATGCTAACCCTTGGACTATACTATTTATATTATTTTTTTATAACTATTTATATTAATATCTACACTATTTACGCTATTTATAACATCACGTATACAAAACATTAACATTAGTTAATTACATCAATTCAAGAACACTTTTACACGTAATTACATAAAACATACTCTCATTTACATGTCATTCTGATGTGAAGTGTAGAATCGACTCTCCCTTTTTACAAGCTCCCGGTGGATCAATCATTCTTGGGCTTTTTTGCCCTCAGGCTTAGTTACAGATAACTATGGTTAAATAGGAGTCACATTCTTCAATTCTTAAAACCAATTGGAGATTAGAAGGTGGACACGCTCTATTTAACAATTAATCGGTAGTATAGTAACCAAGTCAAAGTAGATTCATGTGGGGCACCCCCCACAGTTCACTACAGCAGTGTAGGGCCCATCCGATATTGAGCGGTGAATTGACATGAGGGGATGCACCATAGCGTGGTGCTAACAGGTGGGACGGTAGTCCCCAAATCAAAGAATGGTGTTGATCACCCATAAGACCAACAAGAAATACTGTGAATACGGTTCTCCAATACTACACTAACAACTCCCGTTTGATATGAGTGTTGGACGGTGAAACAATGTCACATTCAAAACATGAGTGTGATACAGAGGGCATGCTCCTGCGTTGGATATGTGGACATATTAGAAAAGACCGCATAAGAAATGAGATGATAAGATAAAAGGTGATAGTAGTACATATTGAAGCTAAGCTGTAACAAACGTGGATCAAATGAGCCGAAGTGATATGCTTTTTCATGGGTTAGGGAGCATGATTTCGAAGAGAGCAGAGTGGATGGTGTGTATTCATGTTTTAGATTGATATCTTATCATCTTTTTTATCCTCTTATCTTCTTTAACTTTCTTATTTGAAATTGTTTTATCCTTTTATCATTTTTGTACTCCCTCCGTTCTTTTTTATTAGTCTCCTTAGGGTTTGGCACGGGTTTTAATAATAAAGTAGTAGAGTAAGTATAGAGTGTGTAGGGTAAATGATAAAGTAGGAAAGATGGTATATTAAAAAGAGTAAAGTAATGATAAAGTAGGAAAGAGAGTATATTAAGAAGAGTAAAGTGATGGTAAAGTAGGAAAGAGAAAGTAGTTTGTAAAAAGTAAGTAGGGTAAAAGTAATAAAAGTGAGGGTATTTTCTCAAAAACTTTCCTTAAAGGGAAAGGAGACAAATAAAAAAAAACGTCCCAAAAAGGAAAGGACTAATAAAAAAGAACGGAAGGAGTTTTATATTTATCCTTTTTACCTTATCTTTTTATATGAATATTATATTTATCTTTATCTTTATTATATCTTTTTATCTTTCATTTCCTTTTGATTATGATATTATGTATCAATTCGTGTGAGTAGACCCCAAAATCTTTCAAAGTAAAGCTTGAATGTTGTTGTTGACTCTTCTTGCTTAAGAGCCCATTTGATAACACTAAAATTGGTTGTATTGGCTGATTTTGATAAAATTTATGAAGTTCTGGCTGAAGTGGCTGTATTGGCTGATTCTGCTGATTCATAAAAAATTTTATTTAAAATACTCCCTCCGTCCCTATTATATCTTCCAAATAGGTCTGGCACAGAGTTTAAGATAGTGGGTATTGTGTGGTGGAGAGTTGTGCAGAGTAAAGAGAAATGTGTAAGAATTGCTGTGAACCACAAATTCTGGCCAAAAAAGGAAAGTGGAAATTTTAATTGGGACGGACGAAAAAGGAAAGTTGGAAATTTATTTAGGGACGGAGGGAGTAATTGTTATTAATAAATAAAATAAAAAATTATATGAAAAAATAGCTAAAATGATCCTCTACAGTAACTTCAGCCAATACAGCTAGAAAAGTAACTCCAGCCTTACTTTTTCTGCTTATTACACAATTGAGCGTGCGAAATCAAAAGTTACGTGTTTGGTGAAAAAGCTGACTGATAAGCCTGATAAGCCGGAAAAAGGGGTCACCAAACGGGCTCTAATTTGATCGTTGTCTATTCTAGCCAAAAGTTTTAAAGAGGCGCATTTGACTCGTGGAGTTAAATATGTTGTGTTAAGATGTTTTTATTTGGATTGCTTTAAGTCTGAAACCAAATTAGATCAGACCAGACCAGATCAGACTTGAATAGTTATAAAATACACAGTGACCAAACATTTGCCAGACTATATCAATTCAGACCAAAACAAATCAGATCAGACCTGATCAGACCATAAAATTTCATCACAAATAAAAACATCATTAACATCTATCACCATCATAATACATTTTTTAGTATGAACTCGCACTAATTAAAAATGTGTAGTGACTAGTGATAGTAATGCTAACATAACTGAATATTCATATAGGAATGAAACTCATAGGTTATTTACTTGTCACCACTTAAATACTTTACATGGAAAATCTATTATAGTTTCATTTAGATTGAGAAACAATATATCTCTTCACGGAGTATTTGGTAAGGATCTTGTAGAAGATATACTCCGGGTACAACTTTACCGCTTTACCAAAATTATTTATAATTTGTTCATTCCCCAATCTTTAACTCTTAAACAATTACTAACGGGGTACTATTAATGACATTTTAGGTATAATAACCATTATAAGTTCATATGTACATCTCCCCAAATCAAGGGTATTTACGTCACCCCAAGAAACTTTTGTCACTTAAGGTAAAAGTTATTTTTTTCCTAGTTTTCATATCAATTTCACAGTAACCAAAACCATGCATTGCATATTAGTGTTGCAATTTTTAATCTCTAGTAAAACTTTTCCCTAATTGGAGGAAATCCATATTATATAAACTCACAAATAAGAAGAGAACTTAAGAGAGAGAGAGCTTAAGGACATCCTTTTTAGAGAGAGAGAATCGTCGTACACCTCTCTCTCTCTACACAGAAACAAAGCAACGGCTCACAATCGGAAAACCTCTGCCTCGTACCGCCACCATCCATTTCCTCGTACAAAGAAACTCTCTTTCTTTTGGTTTTATCGCATTCCTCGCTCCGGGAAATGCCGACCACTACCGGCTCCTCCGGCGGAAGCCCCGCCGCGCACCACCGTCGCCATTTGACAGAGTTCTTCAGCGGCGCCGAGAAATTGCCGGATCACGGGCAGACCCATTCCTCCAGCGACGCCGACGATTCGGAATACAGCAATGGCGGTGGAAGGGCCGCCGGAGGCGGCGGCGGCCACCACCCGGCCGTGCGGTACCTGTTGGTGCGGAAAAGGGTGCCGGAGAAAATCATCTTTAGAGGGGAGGAAATATTGTTCAATGTTCTGACGGCGATGCAGTGTTTCAGATCGAGGAAGAATACGCGGCGGTCGGTGCTCGGGATGCTGCTGGCGATGGTGGTGGTTTCGGCGTTTGTGAAATTCTCGTTCCTGAATAATGGAAATTCCGGCGAGGCTAACGACGGGATGATGAGGATGTCGGAGAGGGGCCCACCATTGGTTCTTCAGAATTTCATGAATGATTGGTCAAATGCTCAGAGGGTAGTTTCTGAATCTCAGTCTTCTTCTTCTTCATCTTCTGCGTCAGGGGATGTTGTTCTGAAACGCCAGATGAAGGAAGTTTTTGTGAGTATTTTTTACTTTTATTTTTATTTGAATTATTATTGCTTGTAGCATTTATTACTGAAAATTTAATTCCTGAAATACTTCCTTTGATGTTAAACACGCTGTCTTGCTTCTTTTGACACTTTTTTGGGGACTGTCGGCAGAATAGTTATGCTGTGTAAAAAGGAATTGATTGCATAAATATGAGGTTTATGTTCTATTCTAAACATATGAGTCATTTAGTTATGAAAAAGCAGAATAGTATTCCACCTGTCTTAAATTAAATTTCCCACTTTTATTTTAAAAAACAATTAACGTTCTCTAAAATCTGAATGATAAACTATTCATCAAATATTAAAAATAACACATCTATAACATCCTAATTATCATCAATGACTTTATTATGCTATATATTCATCAAAATTATTTCTACAAATATACTCCTTTTGTTTTATCATACTTGTACAAATATAATTGAATTAACTGATTTAATTATTATCTAAATAAATGTGTCATTTTTCCATGAAAAGTTTAAGCTGAAATGGAGGCAGTAGATATATGAGAAGTGCAGGTGAAAAAGGGGGTCTCGAGATTTATGATTGAAATAGGACACACACAACTCCGATCGTTAAATATTTGAAAAAGATTACATAAATATTATTCTTCCAAATGTGATGGACAAAAATATGTGAGTTACTATGATGTAAATTTTGAAAACAGTTATAGTCACTAATAATTATTAAGTCATATATTTTTCCATGATATTTTAATTAGTAATATTTAAAGTTAAATCCCCCTATTGATAAATAATTTAATTTTAATAATTAAAATTTATATATTCAGAAACTTCATTAAAATATTTACAAATATTCAAAATTCTAATTAAAATTTAATAATAAAAAAATGGTATTTCAATTAAGTGAATAAAAAGAGACTGTTTGACTCAAAAAAGTCAAATTTGTAACTGTTTGAAACAAAGAGAGTATTTAATATATAGTGCTTATATTTTTCTGAAGTAATTCTTGATAACAATTAAACCTATATTTCTAAAATAACTTTTCATATATCATCACATGATTATTTACTTAAATGAAAAAAAAAAAATCAACTGGTATTGTTTAGTCAAGACAATAAGATAATAGAAGATAAAAGGGAATGGGAAAGATTATTAATTGACATATGGAGACAATACACTTAGTTATATAGTGACAGAGCCAGAAAATGATAGGTTAGGGAGGTCTGCGCTTTAAAATTATATATCGTGGGAGTCAAAATTCAAAATTTAAAATTTCACTATATCTTTTAGTTAATATAAATATTCATTCATTCATATGTGTTGTGTGTGCGTAAATTACGAATTTTTTCTTAAGAGGGTCGAGCCACCCTCCTGCCTCCCCTGTCTTTAGCAGTTAGCTAGACTAAAGAATTGTTTACTTGTGACTTACTCTAGACACTAACTTAATCATGAGTAGCAATGTCTTGTTTATATATACGATTAAATAACAACACGAGTTACTCATTCCACAAGAAGGGACTTAATCATTAAATTATTATACATTACTTACTCACGCATGTTAAGATGTTTAGTATACATTACGTAGGAGATCGATGTTTGTTAATAAGTTACATTAGCCACCAATAAAACAACTCTAAAAAAAACTCTAAAGTAACTCTAAATTTATCATTTATCCTTCCTAGTGTTTTTTTATGGTGACAACTCCGGTACCCATTTAAAAAATGGGGGTACCGTACCTACCATGCATTTGATTGGTCCAAATCATTATATGCCTTTTATTTTACATTTAAATAATTCAACTGCATTATTCTTATTGGTCCATTTGGACAAAGGTACGGTACATTTGGGGTACCATAGAATCTACCTTTTTTATTTGTATCCTTCCTAGTGTTAATTCACACAAAATAACAACATATATAAAGAACACAATATAAATATATATATATCTTGACCAAGATAGGATTTAATATAAAATAATGAGTAAATTACATCCTAATCACGGCTGACATTGTTGCATGTTTTCTCTATTGGTCCAAGTAAATAAAAAAGAATTACGATAGGGTCCCTAACATAAAATCCTTAATCTTAGTTATACTGTTCATCTCTTGGAAAATAGTAAAAACACCATGTTGACAAAAGTTTTATAGCTATTGGAACAAATATGTGCATCTTTTATTGTTTTTATTCTCATTCAACATATAGAAAATTAACAAATTTATTCCCCAAGCATGAATATGAAATGTATTAATTATTCTTTTTCATTGCCAAAATCCCTTTCATCCGGTAGCGTTTTGTTGTTGTTCATTTATGTGTAACTAGTATATACCTTTGACCCTATGGTCAAAGTAGCAAGCATAAGTGAGTTAGCTTTAGAAAATGCTACTCTTGACTGTGACCGTTATGACCTATATATTTCATTAATTAATTCACAATTTACTTTCTTAATTGCCTTCTTTTTATAATGATCCTGGGGAGCTTAATTAGGAACTTGTTGAAATTTATTGGCAGGTCCCTGAAATATGGACGAAACCAAATAGCGAAAACTACTATCCATGCATTGCTCGATCAATGAACGAAATAAGTAAAGTCAAAAACATCTTTTCCAATTTTTAAATTCGTTACACATTAATCATCATTGATTTTACAGATGATTTGTTTCAGGGAAACCTTCAAGAAATGGCTTTATTTTAGTTCATGCAAATGGAGGATTAAATCAAATGAGAACCGGGGTAAGTTTTTTTACCAGGATAGTAATTTTTTATTTTTATTGTCTGGAAATATATAGATGAAATTTGTAACAATATTTTAACTGCAGATATGCGATATGGTCGCGATAGCTAAAATTCTAAACGCAGTTTTGGTTCTTCCTTCCCTCGATCACGATTCATTCTGGACTGATCCAAGGTACATTAGAGATTTACTGTATTACCCCTTGTGTCCCCACCATTATATAGTTTATTTATAAGTTTCTATGATAGAGTTAATATTGGTAATTGATAATACACTCTCATTTACTCAATTTAATATTTGAAAGGCTTTGATGAGACTTGATTTGGTCATTGATGATAACATTTAGATCCAATTAATCTAGTACTGTTTTAACACATACGTTACGGTTCTAAACAACAAATAAAATAAGACCTAGTTTCAAACTCAATTGAATAGTCACAAATGTAATTTGACCCAATTAGTTCCTCAATGTACGACAATAACACATTAAATATGCTTGAATAATTATTACTAGACTTTTAACAGACTATTCAATTCCGTCCAAGGACACCTCAGAGTTAAACTATCAGGTCAAATTCAAATAAGACAAATTAAAACAATAGTATTATGAGTTTTTATAACTTTGGTCCCTCCACTAATGAGTCAGTGTCACTTTTTAAGGAGTGTTTGAGTTTGCTTAAAAAAAGCGCTTATCAGTTTTTGGCTTAAAAAAAGTTGAAAAGAGTGTTTTCAAATGACAGCTTCTGCTTAAATTAATCACTTAAAAGCTAAAAGATGGAAGCAGGTAGAAGGGTGTTTTAAACTGCTTCTCACTTTTTCTATTACACAAAAAGTACTTATTTTACCAAACACTACCAACTTTTACTTTTTCAGAATCACTTTTTTCTCAAACACTACCAAAGGAGTGTTTGCAGTTGATTAAAAAAAGCACTTTTCAGCTTTTGGCTTAAAAAAAGTTAAAAAGAGTGTTTTCAAATGACAGCTTCTGCTTAAATTAATCACTTAAAAGCTAAAAGCTGGAAGCAGGTGGAAGGGTGCTTTAAACTGCTTTTCACTTTTTCTATTACACAAAAAGTACTTATTTTACCAAACACTACCAACTTTTACTTTTTCAGAATCACTTTTTTCTCAAACACTACCAACTTTTACTATTAATCACTTTTTCCCAAATCACTTTAAAAAATCACTTTTTTAAAGTTGAAGCAATTGCAAACACTCCCCAACTTTTACTATTAATCACTTTTCCCAAAAATCACTTAAAAAAATCACTTTTTTAAAGTTGAAGCAATTGCAAACATATTGGACTTTTAATTTTTAATGCTTGAGTATTAAGTGAGAGACAATTTTAGTCATCGACTTCCAAGTTTTCCACATTTAGTTTCCTGAGTATTATCAAATTGACACTTTTAGTCTATTGTGATTTTGACACAATCAGTGAAAAACTAAAAATGTCACTATTGTAATACGTGAAGGATCAAAAGTCACTTTTATGAAAGTTGAGAGGCTAAATATGAAAATTTTGAAAGACGGATACCAAAAGTGTGTTTCGCGCAATAGTCGAAGGGCTAAAAGTGGAAAAAATAAAAGTCGAATACTAAATGTATTATTGTAATATATGCAATATATATATGCATAATACTAGACTTTTAACACACCTTCAATTCAGACCAGACAAATTTAAATGGATAGACCACACAAGAAATCAATCCAAAGTGGAAACATCTTAAACTATATCTTATGATGTTTTCACTTTGAATGATGTTTACAAGTTCTGGTATGAATAGATAGTCCAGTCTGATCTGAATATGTTTTGAACTGGTTTGATTTAGTGTGTCAAGGTATGACATTATTTGTATTTTACTATTGTCTAAATTTGGTGTTGATCTTGTGTGATATGTCTAGTTTGATCGAGTTTGTTTAAATTTTCTCTTGTGTGATCAGGTCGAGTCCGATCTGATTTAGTATTAAGTGAAAACATTCTTAATTACCCAATGTATAAGGAAAACCAATGACCCAATTGACTACAAACCGAACCAATAGACATCTCTGGTGTATAGTGTATTTCAAGGGGCATAATTAGGTATTTACCGTTTCTGAAATGTTGTATTGACAGTGAGTTCAAGGATATCTTTGATTGGAAACACTTCATTGAAGCATTGAAAGATGATATCGAAATAGTTGAAGCTTTGCCAGCAAAGTATTCTGCGGTGGAGCCCCTTGTTAAGGCTCCAGTATCTTGGTCACAGGTAAAAAAAAGTGAAAAACTGAACAATTTGTTGAGAATGAATATTTTTACAAGAATGCTTGGAAGGGTCAATATTTGATGTACTCCTCCAATGCAGACCAGTTACTACAGAGGAGAGATTCTGCCATTACTGAAGAAACATAAGGTCATCAAATTCACACACTCAGACTCTAGGCTTGCTAACAATGGCCTACCGGTCTCGATCCAGAGGCTTCGTTGTCGTGCAAACTATGAGGCTCTTCGGTATGCACCCGAGATCGAGGAACTTGGAAGAAAACTTGTCAACAGACTAAGGCAAAACGATGATCCCTACATTGCTCTTCATTTAAGGTGACTTTATTTTGTGTGTTACTATGTACTACATATTATTTAATCATCACAAATATAAAAATAAACAATAAGATCTTGGCTTTGATATCATATCCATCCATACTTGAGGTTTCATCCTATAGGACAACTTTATAGGAAGATCCCAATGTCTTGTACTTCATCCATCCCAATTTATTTGAAGTTTTAGAAAAGCACACAACACATTAACTCATTAAGAAAATTCCCAAAGTGACATCTTTCTTTTAATAAAAATTCAAATTAGCTAATGTGGTTGGGTTTTAGGTATGAGAAGGATATGCTTGCATTTACGGGATGCAGTCACAATCTGAGTGAAGCGGAGGCAGAGGAGCTTCGCATTATGAGGTACAACGTGCAGCACTGGAAAGAGAAAGAGATAGACAGCGAAAAGAAGAGGCTAATGGGAGGATGCCCTATGTCCCCGAGAGAGGCTGCATTGTTTCTTAAGGCATTGGGTTACCCCTCGAACTCAAAAATATACATTGTTGCGGGGGAAATACATGGGAACAACAGCATGGATGCATTCCGCTCAGAATACCCCAACGTGTTTACGCACTCAACACTCGCAATGGACCAAGAATTGGAACCTTTCAAGCCATATCAGAACCGCCTTGCTGCCTTGGATTACATTATTGCCCTTGAAAGTGACATGTTTGTTTATACATATGATGGGAACATGGCAAAGGCAGTACAAGGGCATAGGAGGTTCAAAGGTTTTCGAAAGACAATTAGCCCAGACAGGTCTGCCCTTCTCTCAACCCAAGCTTTTTTTTCTTTGGGATCAATTACATCTACCTCCTGAAGTCAGATCAAAAATCACCTAAGATTATAAAAAAAAAAACCTTTTGAATTGAGAAACAACACATTAAATATGGGGGCACACAGTACTTGTTAACATCATTAATACACTGCATACTTGTAATTTTTCTAATCTTGAAGGGTATATGGTAATTTAAACTAATCTCGAGGGAGTAGATTTAATGAACCCTTTTCTTATTATTAAGCATTTGCCTTTTTTGTTGCAGATTAAACTTTGTAAATATGATAGATTTATTGGACAAGGGAGAAATTTCTTGGAGTGAGTTTTCTAGTGAGGTTAAGGCCTTACATTCCAACAGGCTTGGAGCGCCTTACCTTAGAGAAGCAGGAGAATCGCCAAGATTAGAAGAGAACTTCTATGCAAATCCTTTTCCTGGTTGTATATGTACATCTGATGAAAATCAGAGCCTAGAAGTTGTTTCACAAAGATAGGGGTTATGTTTCATGTGATGTTTAGTCATAGGTTGTAAATCACACAGACACCATTATAGTACAAAGTTTGCTTATATACTTATATAAGTAGTGGTTTAGATACTTGCCGGTACCCCAGGGGTAAAAGGGGAAGGAAAGAATATCAATGCAATTTTTCCTGTCATTAGTTTGATTCGTTAGCTGATGCATGATGGATCAAGATGACAAGATGCACATATATACCAAGGGTTTGTTTCAATTCATGTCTTCTTTTGTATATTCCTCCTTTGTGTAGCTAAGTTTTTGTGCTCTACAACCATTTTTGTCTAAGCATTTATGGCTTTACGCACAGTTGCATTTTTCGCAATGGAATATGCTTAGGCAGATTCTTGGCTTAGTTTGGTATTGGTGTTATTTTTTAGCTAGAACACAAGTATCTTAAAGTTGGTTTGGCAAAATAAAAGTGTTGTGGCTTTAGAGCCACAACATTAAAATAACCTGAGCCACAAGGCCAGGTGAAAGAGTTCTATACCACCTCAACTTTTGATTTTCTATACTTATTCAACTTTTGATGAATTACTTGTTAATTGTTATTTAAAATTGAACCTCAATTTTGATTAGTATAATATTATGAAAGTTATAACTTTTATACTTTTATGAAAGTACTTTAAACAAAGAACATTTTCATATAACTTAAATCATTTCCAATAAAAAGATATAGTTGGTCAAAGTTTTGAAAATGACAAAGTTTTTTAGGATGGAGGTAGTAATAATCTCGTGGTAGATTAATACCAAACACACCGTGTGCTCTATATCAGAAGTTACAAATAGAATCATTTTTACACAATATAGTTTAATTTTTACTCCCGCACAATATCAATCTAGTCATGTGCTAAAGTTTGGAAAACAAGAGTTTTATGACAGATCAACGATGTTGTTTTGACAAATTGCAAACTTTCAACCACCAGTACTTCTTCAAAGCATTAGGGCTATTTTTGGTATGATGTAAAACTTATGCATTTGGAGTGGAATATCTATCTCACGGCTATATTTGATTACTTATGCAATACCCTTTCTGTTTTTTGTATATGCTATATACTTCTTTAGCAAATTTTTAAATTATTTAACTCAATTTTGTTCTTCTTTTAAAAGAAACCCAAGTATCCTAATCTGACAAGTTTTACTATATCAAAATTCATAAAGATTCTTAATTTTTTATCTTCCATTTCTTAATTATACTTTTTTACTATTTCATCTTATTTCACCTACTAACTACCTTGCTGGAACAAATAATAAAACATGGAAATGGTAAGAAGTAATGGTTCTTATACAGTCAAGTAGGATTTTTTCACAAAGCCCAAAGCCAAGATATGGGTGTGGTCCACTCTGTTTAGCTTGATCAAATTGTATAGCTTGTTTTGCTTTAGTCATTCCATCAAAACATAAGCTCATCTGTTGAGAGAGCTTGGTACATCTAATTCAAGAGGTCAAGTGTCCATTCGAGTTTTAGGCAACGTGCCCTACTTCTTAGCCGGTCGAGACTTCTCTATTAATATAGAACTATCGTGACATTCTCTACAACGATAGGCACACAAAGGTTGGAAACTCAATAGAGTGAGTTTCAGCCCTGATTACTCCAGGCACCCCCTAGCTCCCTCCCCCAGACCCCAGAGTAAAAAAAAAAAAAGAACCATCATGACATTCTCCACAATGATAGGGAGCATATAGCAAAAACTTTTGTTTCATATATACGCATTACCTTAACCATACTTGATACTTTGTAACTACACAACCGGGGCAATGCCACAAGGGAGAGGTCCCCAGGATTAACTCCAAACAAAGACCTACAATGAAAAGCCCATTCTCGGAGCCCTTGGGGATGGGTATCATCCTATTTTGTAGCTACTCAACCTATTTGGGGCTATTACAACCACTTTACTCCCCACTTACTCTTTTGCTAACCTTTTCCTAAAAACTTCTCACAAGGTTCTACATAAATCCTCGAATGTCTACAAACATCTTATTTTAGACGAACATATACCATGTCAGTTAGGAAACTTTAGCAGAATAATTTGACAAAGCTTATGAATTTGTGATTTGATCAACCTTACATATACTTTCCATCATTTTCAATGGAGCCAAAGACTCGCAATTTTTTGACTTGGGAATATGATGGAATAAAATAAAATGACTCGTTAAATTGTTTGCGTTCCTTTATTAAGAAGTCACAGTCAGTCTATGCGATTTTAGACACGTTTTTCACTATGGGTCATTTGGAAACAGTCTCTTTGCGCTTTAGTACAGGGGTAAGACTGCGTACATCCGACCCTCCCTTACCCCACTGTAGGTGGGAGCCTTTGCGGCACAAGGTAATGATGATGATGATGATCAACCTTACTTATAAAGATAACACGTAATTCTACATTGTACATGGACTAATCTACTAATTACAAATAACATACATATAATATCAATAGACCTTATAGGCATTAAACTCTAGATTAGCAGTATACACTTTAACCTATTTCGACGAGGTGGGGTTACACTTCCCTCCGATGCTAAAGCTGATGGACTGTTTCCTTGCATTAAAGTGATCCACTCCTTCCTGCAATGAATGTTATAAAACAAGTCGGTGCTTAATGATTAATTTGATTCCTTTCCACGTCTGGAATGCAGTTTGCTATTTAACTCATCTACTATCATAGTTTACGTCTTTGATAAATGGTATTAGAGCCCATGAAGATAGGGTTCGAGTTTTCTATTCCAGAAACCACAAAATGAACAGCCACTAAAGCAATTGGTTATGTTAAGGTGATGAGTAATGCTATAGGTACCCCAAAATGCCCCACTTAAATGTGTTGCCCCATTTGTGGCCACACATTAGGGTGGAGTAAAAATGGGGTACCCCATTTTGGGGTACCTTTAGCATTTTTGTAAGGTGATATCCATAGGTTTATATGGTTCCCAGTAAGTGTCTCAGAATCCAAATAAAAATGCTCACCTCCAGAAAAAATGAAGCTTATCAGTGGACGGTCTTTGAATATGTAGTCAAACCTCCCCAGTAGCAATATCTTTAACATCTACGTGGACTAAAGTTTCCTTGCCAAACAGTGTCAATCCAATAGTAGCCTGCAACAACAGTTTTTCACATTCTATAACTTCATGAAACAGCATTTATTTCCCTCAAAAACATGTGTTTATCAATATTCTTTGCGTTTGGATCCCAGAAAATGCTCGGGACTCAGGAGAGGTATTTAAAAGTGAAATAGAGAGTGATTCTCTTTTGTTTGGTTTTACCATGCAAAACGCAAAGGGATATGAATTGACATTTTTTACATATGCTTATATTTCATTAGGCTTTAGAAAGTAAAAGTATTTAAAGCAATCAGTTTAACAAATATTTATCGAGTTTGAACAAATGTTTGTGTTCCCATCAACTTTGACCTCATTTTCTTTCCCTACCATCTTCCAATTTCCAAGAAAAGACAATATCAATCTTCAGTAAATCATGAAAAATAAGTTATGTTCAAAAAAATCAACTAGGATGTCTGTATTTCTATCCTTACAACGAGTTACATGAGAAGGAGAAGCAAGAAAAAACAAAAACATACCAGCTGGGCATTTTTGTCAAGCTTCTTAAGAATGCCTGAAAACCCTGAGAAGCTTCCAGAAACTAGTTGAATGGTTGACCCCGGGACTAAAATATTATGGTCAGCTCCAAGAGGCTTATTCTCTTTCTCTTTCTTTGCTTCTTTTATTTGCTGCTCTGCTTCTTCAAAGGCTTTATCGGCTTTCTCTTGTTCTTCCTTCTCTGCTCTGAATATTGCCTTCATGTTTTCCTCTTCTACAGGCCTAGGCTTGGTCATATATTGCTTTCTACAGATTTTATTCAAAGAAGGATCACAATGTGAACTGATTTAACTGAATCAACAACAACTAAGGAGTGAATCCTTACGAGTTTCCGACCTTGGATCCAATGAAGCCTCCAATGCCTTCATAATCTTTAATGAAGTTGTGTATTTCCCTGTTCATCATACACCTTACGAAAGCGTTGCCGGGGAATAGAGGTTTTGGTTTAACAGAGAATTTTCCACTCTTCAATTTCCTTTTGATTTGCACAGATGGAATATAAACCTGAGGTCAAGATTTACTCTCTCTCAAAACAATATTACAATAATCTCTTATACCATAACAGTATCTCTTAGATCTCTTAGGTCAATATTTTGGTTTGTGTGCATTGGTCTGGTTTGGCCAAACCGAAACAAAACCAAACCAAACTTTAATACAACAACATCCAAGCCTTAGTCCCAAAATATTTTGAGGTCGGCTAACATGAATACATGATATCAGAGCCAAAAGGAAAATAAAGGTAACAAAAAAAGTAGGATAAAAAGGATAAGGTAAAGATAAATACTTTGTATAAGATAAGGATAAATATGATAAGATAAAACAAACTTTAATACATTCTAATGAAATATTAAATACAAACCGAACCAAAACATGGTTTTGTTTTGATTTGCTAATCATTCCCCAAAGGCCCACCAAACCTATTTTAGACCGAAAACTAAAAAAACAACTGAAAGTCCAAATGCTCAGCCCTAATTAGAGCCCATTTGTAGGCGGTTCAAGTTTGGGCTTATGAGCATATTGGTCAATGTTTCACTAAACCCTGACAATCTATTGGTGCACTAGAAAAATCTACTGATAATTAAAGTAGTGCAGAAGTTGCATACTTAAACGTTTTGCTTATATTGTTGAAAGTGTGATACTTTTAGCTTAGTTTTTTATATATTACCATTGATGCATTAATTAAATACTGCTATATGTTTTTAGATATTTTTTAAATAGTTGGGCAAAACAAGCCTTCAACCGCCTTGCCAAATGGGCACTCAAACTCTGCCAATTAGTTTGGAGGAGAGATAAAATCATTGGCATCATATTCAACTGCTTTGACATGCTAATTTGGGCGCTACAATTCATTACAGTATTTTTCATAGCAAAGTAACTTTCAGTGACAAACATTTTACATTGAATACAATTGGAATTTGACTAGAAGTAACAATGCTTATTTCTTACTAGTGTTTGATAAAACAATAGCTTGTGAGCTTCAATGCTCATACTGTGAAAATCTTCAGAAGTTAAAGATATCATCTCATATGCTCTATCTAGATCTTGGAAGTACTACAGAAAGGAAAGAAATGCTGAAATGTTATGCTCTTATGTTTAGACTTCAGACTTAGATCTACTCTAGGAATGAAAGGATCATCATCATCATTACCCCGGTGCCGCAAAGGCTCCCACCTACAGTAGGGTGGTGCAGTGAAAGAAATGAAAGGATATTAAAAAATATATGTTTCAAATAGTTGCATATGTTCAGATTTCTTTTTATTAATATTATATAAATAAGTAAATAAAAAAAATTTTGAACAATTAATGAAACTGAATTCTGGAGTTTGACACAGTGTTTCATTTCCTCAATATTTGTTTTTCTTCCAACTTTCTCCTTATTTTCTTTTACCTGCGCTATTTGTGTCCCAAACGGCCCTTTAATTCGACAAGTTTCTACTAAATAAACATATATAGCCGTAGTTGTAAACCAACCAGACTAAGCCAAACATGTGCATTATATGTCTCATTCAAAAGTCCAGTTAACTTTGTCAGTTAGAATATCTATATTACACACCTGAAGGTATTATGCGTATGACACATTAGATGAATATTTCTTTATTGCAACTTGAGCTTTTTTAAATACAAATGCACATCTTTTTATATGAAAAATGAACGGAAACTATGATGCAGCTTGTTGAAGAAAACTACAAAAACATCTAGATGAAGAATTACATCCGGGAGTGTTTATGATGGTTGAATGCTAATACAGGTAATTTCTTCAAAATAATATTTGTATTAGTATTAATATTTAGAATTTAAATATTTAGAAACTATCTATTGAAGCACATAACCAAATTTTTCAAATTTAGATCGAATTGAACTTCACTGTCCCTGAGGATGTACTCAACTACTCATGTAGAAACTATAACTTGTAATGGTCACAGACTCACAGGACCAGCAGTGAAAGAATTGAAGAAACCCTATAATTCACAAAATTCTTTAAAAGACAGAAATAAACAACTACCTGGAAATCGAGATCAGGGAATTTGAGGGAAAATGATCGCGCAAGACGCTCAACAGTGTACTGGCTTTTAACCCTGGAGACCTGGACGACCCACCATTGAGGACCCATTTTCGCAAGGTTGTCCAGAATGGGCTCATCAGTCCAGGACTGGTATTGTTTCTTCGGCTTCTTCGAAAGCCTCTCTTCCACCTCTTCCCTCCAATTGTAATCCGCCTTGCTTTTTCTCCTCTCGTTTCTCAGCTGTCTTCTCTCCCTCGCCGTCAGAAGCCCCTCCTGATTGGCCGACTCTAATGCACCGGAGACAATGAACGGAATATGCTTCTGGTTACGGGAATTGGAGAGTGAAGGATGGTTAAAGGAAGGGCAAACACTCCATGGGAGGAGAAGAAGAATGCCCTGCTTCATCTTCTTTCAGCTTATACAGTAACTTGTTTTCTTAGCTTTCCTTTTGACAATAAGGATTTTTTAATCTGACCATAATTTTGCACTTTGGTCTGATCTCATCTACATTTAAGTGTGGTTACTTTTTGCAGAGGTGCCATGCCTAATTGAAGTGTTTTTGCATAGGTGTTTCAATGGAAAAACTACGTGTAAAGTATGAATCTTTGACAAATAAAGTGTTCTGATTATATATGTGCTTATATAGAGCCCGTTTGATAGCACGAAAATCGACTGATTTGGCTGATTTTGCTAAAATTTATGAAGTTCTAGTTGAAGTGGCGCATTGGCTGATTCTGCTGATTTAAGAAAAAATTATTTTTAAAATATATTTTATTAATAAAATAAAGAAAAATTTATTTGTAAAAATAGCTAAAATGATCATCTACAGTAACTTCAACTAAAACAGCCAAAAAAGTAATTTCAACTTTACTTTTTTGCTTATTACACATTTCAGTGTGCGAAAGCAAAATTTACGTGTTTGGTGAAAAAGTTGGTTGATAAGTCTGATAAGCCGTAAAATAGTGGTTCCAAACGGCCTCATAATACTCCCTCTGTCTCTTAAAATTTTACCAACTTTCCCCTTTTGATTGTCCCAATAACTTTGTCATTTTCCCTTTTAAGTAAAGAATTTGTGGTTCCAGTGAATTCTCTCTCTTATGAACAAACATCAACCACACAGTTTTTACTTTATTAATCCTCGTGCCGGTCAAATTTGACAAAGTTTTAAGGGACGGAGGTAGTATTAAGATGTTACTTATAAATTATAATGTTTTCATATGTGTTGTCCTTAATACATCTTTTAGCACATAAAACGGGAAACCAAAAAACATTTGTTATTTGTTTACTAAAATCGAAAAGATATCCTTTTATTCTCCAAATGTATACTCCGTATCTAGTAAGTTTTAAAAGTATTTTTGCTCCACTACTTAAAGCTTGCTAGGATTTATAAAATGTTTTACTTATGATAAAAATTTCATTTTTCGTAAACTGTGAATCTACTTGTGTATGTGAGTTTATCTTTAGTATTTAAGTGTGAGTATACATACATGATAAACACATGCGCATCTGCATTCATTTGTGTGCCTACACACATACTCTTGCACACCCAATATATGCCTCTCATTATTAGCATGTGTGTGTTGTGAGGATATTCTTTTTGAATGTGAATGTAGATATTTATTCATTTTTACATATATATTACTTAGGTTTGTTTATTTGCATATATGTATGTACATATACACAGTCTGTGTATGTGCATATTATGATGATACTGATGCAGTGGCGGATAAACTAAGGGTCTCATGGAGTCTCAGAACCCCGCGGACTTCCAAAAAAATACTTACATATATTGTAGTATATATTTTATATAAAATTAATTAATTAATGTATATATACAACAAAAGCTACCAAAGAACTAAAAGACTTGAGCAGTAGAATGGGAATATTCGTGACATTGAAGACAATTCCTCTTGCAGTAGAACGGAAATATGAGGGTTTGATTCCCTCCAACTCCTTTCTTTGTTTTTTAGACTTTGCACCATCTGCATTGAATTTGAACTAGCGAAATTCTCAAACAACTCACTTGTTTGTTTCTTTGTTTTTTTTTCAACTTTGCATAATTCATTTTTGACAGCCTTCATTTTTTACTTTTATTGTTTTTCCCTGTTTTATTGTTTACCCTTTGCATAATTCATTTATTTGGGCTTAATTATTAAATTTATTTTGGGAATCAAACATCGATGGTCCTGTTTATGAATTTTATCCATGTTTTAGTCATATTCACTGTTCTAAAAATCGCTCTAAACGTCCGACTAGTCCCCGCCTAGGCGCTAGGCGGTGGTCGGGTGCCCCGATTTTAGTGTAGACGCTCCGGCTAATTGATGTGGCGCCTGGGTGAATTAGTCAGCCGCCTAGGATGCCTGCTGGTTGCCCGCCTAGAGCGCTTAATCGGCCGTCTAGGCGTCTAGAATCATCTAACATTTTTTTCTTTTTTCTTTTAGTGTCCTAAAAGATATATGCACCTTTTACTTTGACAAACATATGAAGAAAGCTACTGGTGAGTAAGTGAGTAGGTATAATGTATTTTTAAATGCGACAACTCTATCATTCATGCATGTTAATGTGTATATGCGTGTATATTTTTTTTTTATACACACACAAACACAACATTACCAGTCATATTTATTCAAAAATATTGATATAACTACAATTTCTATGTCTCCGACTAGTCCCCGCCTAGACGCCTGCCTAGCCGCCTAGCGCCCGCCAAGGCGCTAGGAACTGGGCTGACGTCCGACTAGCGCCTAACGCCTTTTGGAACATTGGTCATTTTTAAATAATTTTCTCATTAAATAATTTTTGTATTTATGAATGTATTTTTCAATATATTATGATTTAAAATGAACAGATATTTGACAGTGTACCCAAATTTGACATATGTTAATTCAAATGATTCGCCATTAATGAATGAAGAATCGAATCAAGTAATTGTTGAAAGCAAAACTACTTTGGCTTATAATCTACATAAACAACATGTTGATTTTGAATCTCTCGAAGCTAATCCTGGATTGAGAGAGAAAAATGTTGATTTTCATCCTAATGTTCAGGACGAGGTACGTCACAGTTACCTTCAAAAAGGGTCGTTTCACTCTCGGGGTCATGATTTCACTTTTAAGGTAATTAGCGGTAAAAGATGTAGATTTGTTTCGGGTTGGTTTGATGACCATAAATGGTTGAAATGCATTACTGCCAAAGATGCTGCATTTTGTTTATCATGTTATTTGTTTAAGAATAAGTGGGAAGTTGGTGGTGATCGTTTTTTGGGAATATGATTTTCAGATGCTACATTTTGTTTATCATGTTATGTCTCTTTAAAGATGCTGCATTTTTGTTTACCATGTTATTTGTTTAATTTTATATTAATTAGAGTTTCGTTGGTGTAGGGACCTCATGTTCTCTTTTTCTGAGTCTGCCATTTACTCGTGTATACACATACATATATCAAAACCTTGAAAAAGAGTAAGCCAGAAGAAGAGAAAAGCTTTAGGTTTAATTTAAAGCTTAAAGAGAAAAGCTTGAGCTTGAGGAAGAGAAAGGCATGAGCTTATTCAATAATGTTAATAGGAAGACTTTCTACTATGTACAGGGAAGTGGGATTTGTGTATTGTTGTGGTGTGTATTCTGAAAATAAGTTGTCAATTGCACAATCTCAAGTGTTCTCTTTCATGACGAGTTGCATTAATTGTCTTTCGGCGTGATCTTTTTATCACCCTGTTATAGACTCTTTCATTGGCAAACAGTACAGGCGTAGGGCCCGCAAGGCAGCAAAGGCAGGAGATGCGCAGAACGCACAGGAGTCCTAGTTCTATTATTCTTAATTTATTCATTATTTATTTATTATTCATTAGTTTATTAATTTAGACTTCTTTTACTGTTAGTCTCCTATTAGGAGAATTAGAGTTAGCCTTTTCCTATATATATAGGTAATCACATGTACGGCTGATCGTTATTATTAATAAAGTTCAGATTCTATCGGCAAGGCCGAGTCTCTCCCTTCCACCATAGGTCGTAAGAAGCCTTCTGGCTCACAACCTTCTCCACTCGATCCTTCCACAACCGAGACAAGGTCCGGGCCATGGATAAGCGCCACACCTTAGAGAACTTGCTGGTCTCGTATGATACCCTCTTCGCAGCACCATCGAGCTTACCACCCACCCGCAGTTGTGATCATCAGATTACACTGCTTCCTGGAACCGCACCCGTGGTCGTCTGCCCGTACCGTTACCCACATTTGCAGAAAGATGAAATTGAACGACAGTGTGATGAGATGCTTACTCTTGGCTTGATCCAGGAGAGTCACTCTCCCTTCTCTTCTCTTGTCTTATTGGTGAAAAAGCACGATGGGTCATGGAGATTCTGTATTGACTACCGTGAACTAAATTCCAAAACTGTGAAGGACAAATTTCCCATTCCGGTGGTTGATGAATTATTGAATGAGTTATATGGGGCAAAATATTTTTCCAGACTCGACCTACGTTCGGGTTACCATCAAATCCGCATGAAAGCAGAAGATGTTCCCAAGACAGCGTTTCACACTCACCATGGCCATTTTGAATTCCTTGTCATGCCATTTGGGCTCTCCAATGCCCCTTCTACCTTCCAAGGTCTGATGAATAACATTTTCCGACCCTACCTTCGGAACATGGTATTCTTCATGGTGAGTGATGGCATGTTCGGATCCATGCACAGAATGCTCACTTGGATCTTCAAATGACATTATGAGCGCCTAAATTTCAAAGTTTCATAATAACTTAGTTATCTATGATATAACTAAATACCGAGATGGGAGGCGGACTTCTAAAATGCAATGCAAGACACACAGTGTAAATAAAGTAAAACCCATTTACCCAAAGTTTAAAAGAATCATTTAAAACCATTGGCTCTGATACCAAAACTGTAACGCCCTACCCGGACCGACCAGCCTACCCGAGCGGAGCATCACTCGGCGGAAAATCAGAACGGATTTAATCAAAAATACTTCTCATGATTCAAGAAAATAATGCCCTTTTTTCTTAAAACTTTTAATTCATAAAAAGAGATTTTAGCGCTTAAAATAACGTGTATTAATTCCAAAACGACTTCATTACTAAATACTAGAGAATGTCAAACTCACATGGAGTAGAATGTTATTAAAACAGACATAACTTAAACATCATAAAACACTTCAAGGAGTGTAGCGGAAGTTCTTAAAATCACATATGACATATTAAAGTCCTTTATAAAAAACACCAAATAACATGTCATGCAAATGCGTCCTACGCCTCTTTCCATCCCTGTGCTCCTAGCGGGTTCCGTGCTCAACCTACGGGTAGGAAAACACACAACTACTCGCTCAGCAATGTGTTGAGTGGTACGGTAATAACATAACAATAATATTAGCATATCAAAGAACATATTAACATATCATAATTCACATCTGATCAGACAAACATATAACATACCTGGTGAACCGAGCATCTGTTATAAAAATACAGATATTTACATACAGAATAGAATCATACTCAGATATCATAATTATCAGATTATTCTGAGATAATTATTATATTCTTCTTGTGTACAAAACAGAAGCATATCCAGATATCATAATTATCAGATGATTCTTATTCTGAAACTTATCATTGAAAAATACATATTCATTTAGCCTTGAACTCTAGAATCTGGACCTGGGCCGAGGAATACTAACGGTAAGGAATGCGGTCGATTGAAGTCCGTACCCCATTACCCAGAAGGAATATGGAAACGTAATCGCCGGAGCTACACGTACCAATCCCTGACAGAAGCTAGCTGAACAGAAAGGACAGGATCACCGAAGAGACCCGACCTTAATAGGAGAGTAATAGTGCTCTAAAAAAATTCAGGAGTGTACGAAGTACACTAAACAGAACAGGAGTGTACGTAGTACACTAAACAGGAGAGCACTACTTCCTCTAAACAGAATTTCAGGAGTGTACGTAGTACACTAAACAGAACAGAAGTATTCACGTCTGAGTGTCAGACCGAGAGCAAGGCTTTTCCAGAAAATATAAACTTTGATTATTTTATCATTAATACTTACGTAGGGTGTTTGGAATAACTAATTAATTCTACCAAAAGTCATAATTTCAAAATATATACATAATATACTATATATCGCATGTACCACGCAGTATAGTAAATTTCCCATAACTCATTATAACGTAAAAGTGACCGTAATACTTGCGTAAATGTTTCGTATTAACTAATTTATTTTACCTATTAAACTAACTTAAACATAACGAATATCAAATAAGTTACGTACCTAACATGTAGTACTTATTAATGCATGTGGGTTTGCTAAAATATAGTTTTTTTGTTTTCTTTGTATATATTTGTATATATATCTCAGTCCAACTAGCTAATTACGTTCATGCATTTTTATTTTAGTTTAGTTTGCCTAAGTAATCATAATAACTCTTCGGCATTTAGATAATATAATATCAGCTAATACATACATACATGCATGGAGAAGTATTACATATACCCAGGTAATGTATATGTGAGTGCCAGTTATAAATATATACTTTAATACTGATCTTACGAAAACATGTTTTTAGTTAAATAGTTATGCATATATGTATATACTTACGAAGTATGATTTATACATTTACATGTTAACACCATATATACTTTATTTACTTCAATTTATTCTTTAATATATATAGATAAACGGAAGCCGGTTTATTATTAAATATATATAAAGTATACATGTATATGTATTCCTACGTAAGTATAATAGCAGGGTACACAAATTTAAATAGCTAACTATCATGCATGATTCAAATGTCCATTTTAAGTCCTAATCCTTGTTTAAAATGGATGAATGCCGTAACACTTTATCTGATGTTTTTTTAAAACAATACACTCGACTAATTATTCAGCATATTTAAGGTGTATTGCAAATCCTGGATTAAACACATGGGATGTATATGATTAAGCTATCTAACATCAAATATCTCAGTATCCCACGTAACCCAGTTGGAAACGGGAACGACGGCCGGACAAAAACATATTATTATTGGGGCGACGGCCGGAGGGAAACATATTATTATGTATCACAACGGTAACTAAATAGGCTGAAACGTACTAACCTTAGCTTATTGAAAAGAGTTTACAAGGGATATGAGTACGCGAGCTCCTCCTCACAGTCACAGTACCACTTCTTCACTTAGCTAGCTACTAGTTTCTCCTTGAAGCTTATACGGAGTATTGTTTTATTTATTTATTTAAGTTTTTGAAAACTCATGCCGAGAGAATTGAAGCTGCTAGTAATTCCCTAACCTGATTATACGAAAATATATAAAGACACATCCCAGGCTCTACTATCAATTACGGTATTCCGAAAATACATACCCGCTGCATACCCGTGATTCTTTTTAGCTAGGGGTATCCTCACCTCCCAATTTGGCCAATGGATCGGATGAATTTAAATAAATTTTTCCTATATAAGTTGTAGTGTAAGACATGGAGTTCAACGGCAGTTGTTCTTTTTGCTATCTTATTGACTCATATGAGTTGTCTTGCCAGCCATTATCATGCATGGTTTCATTTGTTCCCATTGTTACAAAGTACTTTACGTGGCATCACATTTAAATTGTTAGTGCGTGCATGTGAATTTGGCTTCATCTTATTCATGTAACATGCCAATGACACTAACTACAAAATTCATTTATTTGGGCGTGGACTAATAGTACGCAGGTTGTTTTCAATTTTGAAATAAGTTTACAAGTCTCCTAAAATGTTTCCAAAATTCGTCCCAAATAGAAGTTAAAAGAAATGGTTACTATTTTAGGATTAACGATAATGAATATTATTTTCAAAATTTTACGTTACCGGCTAGACCGGGTTTCAGGGCGTTACAACTTCATTCCCTTGGCTCATCCTTTCACAGCATCTTCAGTGGCCACAATATTCTTTGCTGAAATCTTTCGCTTACATGGCTTACCGGAATCCATTGTGAGTGACCGCGATAAAGTCTTTGTAAGTTCTTTTTGGAAGGAACTCTTCCGACTCAGCGGATCCAAATTGGCATTCTCATCAGCTTACCACCCACAAACTGATGGGCAGACAGTGTTGGAAACAATAAAAGGGGCCTAATATGTAATTAATTAAAATGTGTTTACCATCAGATAAATAATACAGTGGCTATTCATGAAATAATAAAAGTGTAGATACCAGGATAATATATTTCTTTTGGTGACGGGTCAAATTAAATATATTACACTAAAGTGATACAACGGTTATGACCCCCGGTGCATGTAAATGAAGAGATAATTGTAACGACATCGTAACGGAAAATGGTCTAATAAATTATTCTACTTAATATCATTATTGTAGTAATGATGAAGGAATAATTATAAATTAATAAGGCCAAACCGTTACAAGTTACTCTAGTCCTATATATATCCCATCAATAGGTAGGACTAGAAAATTATCATCTCATACGGTACATAGCACTGGAAGGTTAGGCCGATCAATCGTGTTGGATTCAGGGTCTTCCTAAAGTGTTAATGCAAATGAATTCTCAAGGTATTGTTCTAATCTTATTTCATACATATTTGATTTCATGGATTTATATGAATTTAGCTATTATATATTTATATATATATCACATATGGAGCCTTGATATATATATATATATGTATGAATATCCTACAATTGGTATCAGAGCCTACCATAATAGATCCATGGAATTCTTTTCCTTAATCGACATATGTATATGTGTTCATCGACATACTTGGGGTTTTGTTTGATGATTCCCGAAGCTTTTATTTATTTGTTTGTTAAATATGCATTTTTTTAATGGACGGTTACATATGCCTACAGCCTACAATTGTCGATTCATGATGTTTTATACATCATTATTATATATTAAATTACTTCATGTTTCTGGCATGGATTTTATATTCCGTATGTCTTTGCATGGATTTAATACTCTGGTGGTAAATCGTCATTCTTCCGCTGCATGTGTTGATGTGTATTCATACGGATTCAAACTATTATTGATAATTCAGTGGCTGATCGCATGTTTTTTGATTGAATTCTCAAGCATTTTGGTATAATATACGTGTTTAGTATTTCACGTATCAAAAATGGTTTTGGTTTTGTACTTTAGCAAATATGCAGTACGAGTATGTAATTATGGTGCTAATAAAAGCCAATTGAGTTTTTTTCCACCAAGTGGAAACTGCTGGCTATATGCCTATATGGCACCGTTTTTTTGCCATTATTGTAATGCTCCAATGTAACTGTTCTGTCATGATTACATTAAACGTTGTGCATGGATAAAATTTTTGATAATTTGGATCGAATTATACTCCGTATTGTGTTGATGCTCATCTATTGGATTTTCATTTTGGACCGACTAGCAATTTTTGTTAATAAGTTTGAATAATTTGATGCTATTTTTATTATCAAACTTTGTGATTAAATTGCTCCCGTTCATTTTCAAATCCACAAGTCAATTACCGCACATTTTTTTTTTAAAAATTAAAAGTAGAAGTGTGGTAAATTTTTGAAGGGAAATTGTAAAATAAAAGAAGTTTAATATTTAAAATGAGTATATAGAAACAATATGTCACCAAAGTGATCCTATTGTGTAAGTTGCTCATATAAAATATTAAACATAGTATATACTTCGTATATATTTCAAGTAAATATTAATCGGCCCAAAGGAAGATTAATATTTTATCCAGTTATATATATACATTTTGGTAATAATAAATATATAACAATTATAAGGTTGCACTTTAAAAGAAAAAGTCAACCCAAAGGTAGATTTTTCTTTTATATGTATTATTGTTATATTTTATTATTACAACAAGAGTACCGCTAGCAATTAGTATTATTGTCCAAAGATGAAATACTAATGGTGCATTTGGTATCTTGTGATGGGTTAAAAATCATTTTACAATTTCACTAAAGCATATGTTCATTTTCCTTGTTCTTTCTACAGTCAATTTTTCGAGCATATCTGCCAATCTCAACTCCATCCCTGTCCTAAATGGTACTAACTTTAAGGAATGGAAAGAAAATATTCTAATAACTTTGGGCTGCATGGATCTTGACTTAGCATTAAGGGTAGAGCAACCTGCTTCTCTTACGGATGCTAGTACCCAAGATGAAAAAAGGTACTATGAGAAGTGGGATCGCTCGAATCGCTTAAGTCTTATGATCATAAAGCGTGGCATTCCAGAATCTTTTAGGGGTGCTGTATCCGAAGAGGTTACTAATGCCAAGGATTTCCTAACTGAAATTGAGAAACGTTTTGTTAAAAGCGATAAGGCGGAAATAAGCATGTTGTTAAAAGACTTTACTTCCAAAAGGTATTCAGGAAAAGGAAATATAAGGGAGTATATTATGGAAATGTCTTATATTGTTTCTAGGCTCAAGACACTTAAGATTGAGATATCGGAAGATGTTCTCGTACACATAGTCTTGAACTCTCTTCCTATTGCATTTGATCCTTTTAAGGTTAGTTATAACTGCCAAAAGGAGAAGTGGTCTCTTAACGAGCTCATTTCATATTACGTGCAAGAGGAAGAGAGGATGAAACAAAATAAGATAGAAAGTGCTCACTTGGCTAGTACCTCTAAGGATAAGGGTAAAAAGAGGACGAGAACTCCCATTAAGAATGAAGCTGCTCAAGGTCCACTACAGAAGAAACATAAGGAAGGTGAAACAACCTGTTTCTTCTGTAAGAAGTCTGGACACATGAAGAAGGATTGTACCAAGTATCATGCTTGGAAAGTGAAGAAAGGTACGGTCCTTGCCTTGGTTTGTACTGAAAACAATTTGGCTTCAGTGCCTAGAAATACTTGGTGGTTAGACTCCGGTTCAACATCTAACATCAGTATTTCTATGCAGGGTTGTCTGAGCCACCGCAAGCCAAATGATGCTGAAAGATGCGTCTATGTGGGAGATGGCAAAGCGGTGCATGTGGAGGCTATTGGGCATTTTAGATTGTTATTATCTACCGGTTTCTATTTGGATTTAAAAGACACTTTTATTGTTCCGTCATTTAGGCGGAATTTGGTTTCTGTTTCTTATTTGGACAAATTAGGTTATCATTGTTCCTTTGGAAACTTCCGGTTTAATTTGTCTTTAAATTCAAATATTGTGGGGACTGGTTCTTTTATGTCATATGACAATCTTTACATGCTTGAAACAATAACTTCATATAATAATGTTTTGAATGTTGACACCCGAGGCACTAAGCGAAAGGCTGATAATGCACAATCTGGTTTTTTATGGCACAAACGATTAGGTCACATCTCTAAAAATAGAGTTGAACGTCTTGTGTCCGATGGAACACTTAATTCCATTGATTTTTCTGATTTCAATACTTGTATTGAGTGCATTAAAGGGAAACAAACCAAAAATAAGAAAAAAGGTGCATATAGAGCTACGGATATCCTAGAATTAATACACACGGATATTTGTGGGCCATTTCCTACTCCTTCATGGAATGGTCAACAATATTTTGTGTCATTCATAGACGATTACTCTAGATATGCATACTTATTTCTTATACATGAAAAATCTCAAGTCTTGGACGTGTTTAAATCTTACAAAGCGGAAGTTGAGAATAAACTCAACAAACGCATAAAGAAAGTCAAATCCGACCGTGGTGGTGAATACTATGGGAGGTATGACGGCTCAGGTGAACAACGTCCAGGGCCTTTTGCCAAATTTCTAGAGGAATGTGGAATTGTCCCTCAATACACCATACCGGGTTCACCTAGCATGAATGGTGTAGCTGAGAGGCGTAATAGAACCCTTAAAGAAATGGTAAGAAGTATGATTTCTCATTCTATTTTACCGGAATCCCTCTGGGGTGAGGCATTAAAGACCGCAGCTTACATTCTTAATCGAGTGCCAACTAAAGCAACTACTAAAACACCTTATGAGCTTTGGACGGGTAAAAAGCCTAGTTTAAAGCATTTTCATATTTGGGGTTGTCCAGCTGAGGCAAAGCCGTATAGGCCACATGAAAAGAAACTGGAACCCAAAACAGTTAGTAGTTACTTTATTGGTTACTCGGAGCGATCTAGGGGATATAAATTTTATAATCCAGAGGATAAAAATATTTTTGAGACGGGAACTGCCATATTTTTCGAGGATGTTGAGTTTGGGGGGAAGAATAAAGTTAGGGATATTGTCTTTGAGGAAGAATTGATTTCAATACCTGAACCAATTCATACGGATGTTTCTTTTGAAACTAATGAGGAAACTCAACAAGGCATTATTTCATCATCTCCTTTCCAAACTGAAGAAATTGTTCAAAATGAACAAACTCAACTTCCTCTAGAGCAAGTGCAACAAGAAAATGTGTCATTGCGGCGATCCACTAGAGAGAGGAGATACGCAATTCCGGATGATTATGTTGTATATCTCCAAGAACATGCGTCAAGCATGGATATAGAGAACGATGTCCTTGTGTTTATTCAAGAACATGAGGAAGAAAGTGCTGTTATGGAAGATGATCCGATCAACTTCCGTCAAGCCATGAAAAGTTCAAATTCTCAAAAGTGGATTGTGGCAATGAATGAGGAGTATAAATCTATGCAAGACAATAAAGTTTGGGAACTCGTCCCATTACCCGAAGGTTGTAAACCCATTGGTTGTAAATGGATATTTAAAACCAAAAGGGATTCAAAGGATAATGTGGAGAGATATAAAGCTCGTCTTGTAGCTAAAGGTTATACTCAAAAAGAAGGAATTGATTATAAAGAGACCTTTTCTCCGGTTTCATCAAAGGACTCTTTTAGAATCATTATGGCTTTAGTTGCACATTTTAATTTAGAGCTTCATCAGATGGATGTTAAGACGGCGTTTCTCAATGGTGACATTGATGAAACTATTTATATGGTGCAACCAGAAAATTTTGTGATTGGAGATCCAAAACAAATGGTTTGCAAATTAACAAAATCCATCTATGGGCTAAAACAGGCTTCTCGTCAATGGTATCACAAATTTCATCAAGTCATTTTATCCTTCGGTTTTAAGATGAATGATGTAGATGATTGTGTATATCATAAGTTCAGTGGGAGTAAAATATTTTTCCTGGTCTTATATGTTGATGACATTCTTCTTGCCACTAATGACATAGGCATGTTGCATGAAACCAAGAGATTTCTATCAAAACATTTTGAAATGAAAGATCTTGGTGAAGCCTCCTTTGTATTAGGAATTGAAATCCTTCGTGAGAGATCACAAGGAATCTTAAGGTTATCACAAAGGAACTATGTCGATAAGGTCCTTAAAAGATTTGGCATGGAAGATTGTAGACCGTGTGATACCCCTATCTCTAAAGGAGACAAGTTTAGTCTTGATCAGTGCCCTAAAACAAATTTGGAAATTCAAGAAATGAAAAAGATTCCCTACGCATCTGTTGTAGGAAGTCTTATGTATGCCCAAGTTTGTACGCGTCCGGATATTGCGTATATTGTTGGGATGCTAGGCAGATATCTCAGTAATCCAGGAATGGCTCATTGGGTGGCGGCCAAAAGAGTTATGAGATACTTAAAGAGGACAAGGGACTATATGCTTACATATAGAAAATCAGATCATTTGGAGGTCGTTGGATACTCCGACTCTGATTTTGCCGGTTGCAAAGACACTAGTAGATCTACTTCAGGCTATGTTTATCTACTAGCGTGTGGTGCTGTATCTTGGAAAAGTGTTAAGCAAGATATGATAGCTACCTCAAGTATGGAGGCAGAGTTGTTGGCCTGTTTTTGAAGCTTCAAACCATGGAATATGGATGCACAATTTTATTGATGGGCTAAGAATATTAAATGAAGTTCCGAAGCCTGTCAAGATATTTTGTGACAACAATTCTACGGTGCTTTACTCTAACAATAACAAGAGCTCGAGCAAGACAAAACACATTGAAGTGAAATATCGAGCTATTAAAGAAAGGGTTCAGAATAAAAGAGTCGCTATTGAACATATAAGTACAAACTCCATGTTAGCGGATCCTTTAACCAAGGGTCTCCCGCCAAAAGTTTTTCATGAGCATACTCCTCACTTGGGAGTCATTGATTTTAAGGAACCTCAAGTTTAGTGGGAGTTTATAAGTTATGTTCTATTGCTTTATGAATTTATCTTCTGATCAGAATAAAGTTGGACATTTGGTGTATTCTGAACAATTAAGATATTAAAGTTTAAAGTTTATTAAAGAAGGGTCAGTTGAAAATTTACATGTACATGCCACAATTCATCTAATTTTCATGCTACACATTTCATGATTGATCTATGTCATTATGTAATATTGATACTAGTGATCATTGGTGGTATAGTTATGTTTAACATAACAAAATGCTGCAATGGTTCTATATTAGTATTACTGATGGACCAGATTGTTTAAGGATGTTATTTTATATGATGGTATTTTTGAGCTCATAAAGATAACACATTTTGTTAAGAATTACATATAAGGCCCAGTGGGAGATTGTTGGAAACAATAAAAGGGGCCTAATATGTAATTAATTAAAATGTGTTTACCATCAGATAAATAATACAGTGGCTATTCATGAAATAATAAAAGTGTAGATACCAGGATAATATATTTCTTTTGGTGACGGGTCAAATTAAATATATTACACTAAAGTGATACAACGGTTATGACCCCCGGTGCATGTAAATGAAGAGATAATTGTAACGACATCGTAACGGAAAATGGTCTAATAAATTATTCTACTTAATATCATTATTGTAGTAATGATGAAGGAATAATTATAAATTAATAAGGCCAAACCGTTACAAGTTACTCTAGTCCTATATATATCCCATCAATAGGTAGGACTAGAAAATTATCATCTCATACGGTACATAGCACTGGAAGGTTAGGCCGATCAATCGTGTTGGATTCAGGGTCTTCCTAAAGTGTTAATGCAAATGAATTCTCAAGGTATTCTTCTAATCTTATTTCATACATATTTGATTTCATGGATTTATATGGATTTAGCTATTATATATTTATATATATATCACATATGGAGCCTTGATATATATATATATATGTATGAATATCCTACAGACAGAGATTACCAATCGGACAGTTGAAATGTTCCTACGTTGTCTCACGAGTGATCTCCCAAGACAGTGGATGCGCTGGTTACCATGGGTGGAATATGCAGATAACACTTCATTTCACACTGCACTGGGAGATACTCCATTTCGTTTGGTGTATGGACGTGATCCACCTCGTTTATTGTCCTACGCCCCAGGTGCAACTAAGCTGGATGCCGTCGACAAGACACTACTCGAACGAGATGTGGCACTAGCCAGTGCCCGAAACAGACTCTTACAAGCACAACAGAGCATGAAAATCCAGTATGACAAACACCATCGAGAGTTGGAATTCAAGGTCAACGACTGGGTGTGGTTGAAAATACACCCCTATCGCCAGTTGTCCCTCACCAGACAGAGACATCTGAAACTCCTTCCCAAATTTTATGGTCCATTTCAGGTTACTCATCAGATCAGCCCAGTGGCATATAAACTCGCACTTCCGCCTGAGAGCAAAATTCATGATGTTTTTCATGTCTCTGTTCTGAAACCGCACCAAGGGCCGCCTCCTACCGCACTAGGGGTTTTACCACCCTTGTGTGATGGCCAGGAACTGCCAGTGCCATTCACAGTGCTTCGCAGCAGATTGAACCATGGTATGCTTGAATTTCTGGTCCAATGGGTTGGTAAGTCAGCTGAAGATGCCACCTGGGAGCCATCTTCCATTTTCTGTGACGCATATCTAGAGTTTCAGCTTGAGGACAAGCTTTTTCTTCAGGAGGGGAGTGATGTTATAGACTCTTTCATTGGCAAACAGTACAGGCGTAGGGCCCACAAGGCAGCAGAGGCAGGAGATGCGCAGAACGCACAGGAGTCCTAGTTCTATTATTCTTAATTTATTCATTATTTATTTATTATTCATTAGTTTATTAATTTAGACTTCTTTTATTGTTAGTCTCCTATTAGGAGAATTAGGGTTAGCTTTTTCCTATATATATAGGTAATCACATGTACGGCTGATCATTATTATTAATAAAGTTCAGATTCTATCGGCAAGGCCGAGTGTCTCTCTTCCACCATAGGTCGTAAGAAGCCTTCTGGCTCACAACCTTCTCCACTCGATCCTTCCACAACCGAGACAAGGTCCGGGCCGTGGACAAGGTCCTTCACCGCCAAACATAACACACCCTTTCAGCATGAGCTATATGTCACAAGAGAAGTATGAAGTATTTTTTCTATGGAGCGTGTATTTATAATATTCAGAACTTAGTATATGTTATTTAGTTAGTTTTATTTTGTTGTTGTCAATTTAAAGTTTTTCAAATGTCATGTGAACTATTGCTTTCTAATGTTAACCATTTTGAGCAGCAACTTCTCTGCCAATATTTCTTTTGCACTCATATATTACTCGATTTGTCATGTTAAGATTGTCTTATCTTTCTTGGTTCATCCCACTAAAATGGTCTTATACCAAATTTGGTAAAGTATGTGTAGTTCTAAATCATTTTCACTTTATCAATTTAATATCAACAGCATAAATTCAATTTTCGTAATAAATGCATCACATTCTCATGTCCCAATGTTACGATGAAGGTAGTAATATATAGATAATGCACATACTAGCTAAGTTTGGTTAGAGTATGGAAAACCCTTAGTTTTTTCCTAAATAGTATGAAACATTATTGGTGTGATCTCTAGTATGACTATATATTATTTATTAGTGCATTATAATTTTTACTTATGGAGTGTTGCAAATTAAATCTAAAGGTTGAAGTGTTACAATTTTCAATATTTGTGTAAAAAAAAATTTTATAATAATTTCAGCCAAAAAGTAGATTGTTGGGTAAAACATTGTGTGATAAGGCAGGCAGTTTGAATATGCCCAATAGGCACTTAACTAAAATGAGCCTTTGTTTCACACTTTTTATTATTATTGATCAACAATGATCTCCCTGCAACATAATTCACTCGTGAACTCTCAAGTTTCACTAAACATTGAAGGAATAGAGTATAAACTATGTAGCCTACCTCATATCTACCACCACATTTTATTATTGGTTCCAAACAACAAGAAACATAGTTATTTCTGTTGACGCGAAAAGTTACTCGAAAAAGTTTGAATTCCCTAACAAATTCAAAGGTGTGATGCTTTTTTATATGAGTACAAAATTGCGGATTCAAAGATATAGTTTAACGATTGAGATAGGAACATTGCATAAAGTTATAATTAATGCATTTTAATAAAGGCCATTTAGCTTATTTTTCCCAATCAATAATTCAATACTATTAACACAAAACACATTTGTGCCAAAAAAACTCAATGACATCTATATCTTTATCTATATATTATACAATTGATGTCACATTAGCCATGTGTTTCTCTATTATTTACTTTTGGGCACATGTCTTTACTGTATTGGTTCATAATTAAAGTTTAATAACATTCATTAATTACCATCATTCTCGTTTTAATTTTATTACTATTTTCGTTTAATATATACACTATAATAATTAATCAAAAAATTGTCAAATTGTCAAAATTCAAAATCTTCCATTAATCGGTATCTACTACATTGTCACATTTATTTGTCTAAAATTTGTATACATAATTCGTATGACACACACACATATAGTTGCATGATACTTCGTATAAGGATACTTGATTGCATATATTATAGTAGAAATATTATATATATTCTATTATATAAAATATTATAATGTGTATATAGAATATAGAATACGTATATATTTAGTTGGCTCTAGGTTTTCCCAACAAAATTATACCTACTATTATATGGTAACATACTAAGAATGTCTTTAAATGAATTCTTCGACAATGGAGAACTTATATGCATTTAATTTGATCCAGGAAAGAACCTTGATTGCCTTCATTTAAAATAAATTATGATTCCTAAATTTAGGTTATCTTACCAATATCATATACAGAGTATATACTATTATATAGTAACATATCTATGATGTCTTTAAATGTATTCTTTGACTAGAGTCACAGTCATGTAAGGCCGGTTTGACAAGACCCCATCCGGTCAAATCCGTTTGAGGGGTTTTCGAGTTATTTTTTTTTGACATTTTTGAACATGTTCTTAATCAATTTAAAGCATAGTGTATTTTAATAATTTATTTAATTGACTCTCCGATTGAACTTTAAGCTGAAATCTTGTAAAGATAACCTACACTTGATGAAGAACATGCTCAAACAATTTCATCAAAAAGCTCCAACAGAAAGGGTCCCAGATGACCTTTGTCAGACGGAGGATTTTGTCAGGCTGGCCTGACATGATCATTCCTCTCTTTGACTATGCATTATATATATCAAGAGTAGTATTCCTGTCCGGTCAGGATGGACAGGAGGGTGGTCCGGCCACCTCGTTTTGAGGTGGTTCCCGATGGTACATTTTGCTCAATTTTTTTGCCCATGAATTGTAGATGATTTCCACCAATTTTGAGCAAAAAAAAAAAAAACAATCAGGGAAGCATTCAAGAATTTTTTGTGTGACAATTGTGTATAAGAAGATATTTCAAAGTTGAAGAATCAATCACACATAAATACTATTCAAATATTTTCATCCACAATGTATATGACAAAATTTGCATGTTTATATAACAAAAGTTTATATGCATAAACTTCTCCTTACATTGTAACTTATTCTCCTGGGTACAAAAGTGTTACAGAGTAGTATATTAAGCTCATCAAGTCAACATTGCATCTCATATTTTCGTCTCCAATGCATTATATCTAGACTCATGTGATGCTGATGTGTCAAAAATTAATGTGTAGATGTGTACAATGTTGTCATGACTGTTTTGGGTTAACAGAGTATTTGACATGCTGACTAGGCAAATTTGGACGGAGAAACACGCAAAATGTAGGAAAAAATTGGGGAGTTCTCTCACCCCTACCAAGCTTTACGTGTGAAACCTATACCACGATATATATTTTCAGTAATGGAGTTCTCTTCCTCCCTAGAAATCCCGGAATTAATTTTACATTTAATCTTTCTCTTTTTGTCAAGAATGCTTTAGTTTATTCCTAGGTCTGAACAAAGTGGATTTGTCTTGGGGAGGGGAAAATGTTTCACTTTTTGTATATAACTGGGTCGTATCCACAAATTTCTCTTAAAATCACTTCTTCTTCTTCTTCTTCTTCTTCTTCTCCTCTAAAATAAATTTAACAATCATATCTATCAACTTAATCGTCGAACTTGGAAGGAAGCCAAACCCAGAAGGGATTTTAAGAGAGATTTTTGTTTGATCTAAAAAGTCGATAACGAGTAAACAAGCAGAAAATTTTATATGAACACCGCCATTGAAAACACTCCAATCACCACACCTGTACGGCCGTATCCCACACTATAAAAATTATTAGCGGCACATAATTTTTTTGTTGTTGATTTTTATCTATTTTCAAAACAAAAGGAATATTACACGTAAATGAGCTATTAACATTGTGCATTGGATTAGTATTTTGGATTCTACGGTTTACTTACATCACTGTTACATGACATGGAAGACTCTTTTATTTATTAATTGTCATGTGTCAAAATTTCTTCCATGTTAACAATGTAGCATTACAGATGCTCTAAAATATGTAATTGTATACATTTATCCAATTTTCTCAAAAGAACCGGTGGGCGTAGCTCAACTAGTAGCGAGGGAGTGCCACAAGAGTTAGGTCTCGGGTTCGAATCCCGGCAACTGCGATGAGGGGTTACTATGCTGAAAAATGCATAGGGCCTCTGCAAGTACCGGGGACAGAGCCCTACTCTTTATCTGTCAGATTGTGATTATAGTTCAATTTACATCCTCTCATCGTGCCGTCCGGTCGGTGTTGGGGGACCCTCAAGAATGAGGTGTCATCTTTTTTTTTTTTAATTTTCTCAAAAGACAAACACCATGGCAAGACTTTTTGAATAAAACCTGACCGGAGTGACCGGTTTATTTAGTTCCAGGGGCATATGCGACAATTTCCCAAACAGTGAGAGGGAAGAATAACCGGCAAAATATGGTTCGAGAGTTTGAAGCTTCATTTTGGCGCAAAAAATTTAAAACCGCGCGTTTTTGATAGACATCTCCCGCTACTATATTTTCCCTCTTCATTCTTCAAGCTCTTTTCGCAGATCTCTGGTTCAGTATTTCTCACTACACTTTTCTTCTTCGACTCCCATAGCTCATAGCTGCATTCGACGCCTGTCGCGAGAAAATGCGGAAGCAAAGCAGCAGATCGAGAAAATCAGCAGAAAGCACACAGCTAGGCAAAGGAAAAGTAACTCCGGCGCAGGTCGCCTTCATCGTCGATTGTTATCTCGGCGATAACAATCTCTCCAAAACCCGATATGCCTTCCGCTCCGAAGCTCCGCATCTCTTCTCCAAATCACCCGCTCAAGAGGTATGTAAAAGCCAACTTTAATTTCCGAATTATTCAGAAATCAGAATCACATCGAGTGATTTACAATGTGTTGTTGGATTAGGTTTATAATGTTGCGATCATTTCCCGACTGTATTTGATAGTTTGATTTGTGTTTGTGCTTTTGTGGAATAGTCTACGAAGGTGCTGAGCTTGGGAGAGTTGTTAGATGAGTACATAAGTTTGAAGGGGCAGAAATTGGCCATCGACCAAGAGAGGGGACATCTGGAGCAAGAAAAACTTCGACTTCAGAACTTGCTGAAGGGAATGCAGGATGTTATGAATGCTTATAATGGCTCTGCTAATCTCAACACTCCTCCTCCTCCCCTAGTCTCCCCCTCTCCATTTCCTGCCGGTAACTTTTACCAAATACTTGAAGTTCTATCTTTTCTATTTATGATTTACATTTCTTGGTTGTTCTGAGTCTTGTGACAATTTAAGTACACCAAACGTTTGTTGTTATATTTACTAGACTAGATCTAGAGGACATCTCGTATTCTCGTGGTGATTTGTGTGTTAAGTAAAAATGACCAACTGCTGACAAAATTTGACATTTCATCACTGTCCTTAAAGTGGGTTACTTCAAGAAAATTGCATTTCATTTAACGTTTTTTAATCTGCTTATGCACAATGTCAGGTGGATATTCAGTGGGTAATACACCAAATATGATACAAACCATGGTCCCATCCACAGTTCAAACCTATTCTTCCACACCACCTATAGAACCCTTGCCAGCAAAAAGGAAGCGTTCCATGTCCAATGGTCATTTGATTTCTAAGAGATCTCACAAGAGTTCAATTAACAGCCAGCCTCCCCTTGAAGGTGAACTGGAAATAATTTTGTATCCTTTCTTTATTGTATGGCTGAGTTTTCTCAATCGTCATTTTTTATTGTTTGCATGGATCAATTGGAAGGATGCCTTTTTTTCGCCTTTTCCACGATGTGTGCTTTCCCAATGTATTTAGAAGATGGCTTAGTTATCTTTTATTACTTTAAAGACATTATTCACCTCACTATTATTATACAGGTGATAAGGCACTTGCCCAAGCAAGCATTGCAGATAAAGGTGATGAGGATCCTTCAAAACTGTCTGCAGTTCCATCATCAGCTTGTGATACTGGTGGTAATGGAGCAACAGCAGTCCAAGTGTCCAGTGTTGCCAAATGCCTGTTTAACCAGTCAACTCAGTCTCCTCCAACAAATTCTTCTGGTCCTAAGACACCTCCACATGCATCTTCTTCTCTTACAAAAAAGTCCATATCACCCGTAGAGATTAGTTCCACTGCTACTTCTGTTGGTAATGTGAGTACTCAGCAAATGGTATCATCCAACTGCATGATAATATCTTCAGAAACAATCCGAGTTAGCCCTTCCAAACAACCAGGGTACTATTCTATTGAGAGAAACCAGTGCATATCTACTTTGTCACCCGTTAAGACAAACATGAAACCCATTATGAGGGATCATGTGAAAGGAAGGCTAGATTTTGATGCCTCTGATGTGCCGTCTTGTTCAACAATGGTATTAAGTACTCCTGGTGGGACTTCAACTTCTGAATCAGATGGAGAGATATTTGACTTGGATTTAGATGCTCTAGGAATGGATTTTAATCTCTCTGAGCTTTTGGGGGACTTTGACCTTGGTGTAGAGGGAAATTATTGTTCTCCCCAGCCAGACAAGAGTTCTTCATCAGAGGCCCTCTCAGAGTAAATGCTTCTTCTATAAATATCATTTTTTCTAGAGATATTACCCGAAATGGGACTAAATAGGTTTGAAAATTCCAAACATGGGACTGTCATGTTTTTATTCTCAAAATAGGACTAATTACTGTCATGTTTTGGCAGTACCTGACTTAAAACATGACAATATTTTCCAAACTTGACAGTAATTACTCCTATGTTGGGAATAAAAACATGACAGTCCTATTTTGGAATTTTCAAACTGTTTTAGTCCCATTTCGGGAACTTTCCCTTTTTTCTATTTGGGTTATGTTTAGGTAATTAGGTCCCTAAAAGTGATGGGACAAAGACATAAAATTGTTTTCTTATGTTCAATGTTTTAACTTGAAAAGATTAACTTGTTTTAAAATTTTACTTAAATTTGGATTTCATACGTTTCATATGATAGAATATATAATAAAAAGGCTAAAGGGTCAAATAGGTACATGAACTAACTTAAAGTGTTCAATTGGCCCCTTATATAGGAGGTTCTGCCCGGCCGTCGCCAATTGGGGCGGTTCCCGGTTGAATTTTTTGACGAATTTTTTTGAGCATCTTCTTCATTAAGTCTAGTTTACCCATATCAAATTTCAGCTAAAAATAAAATCGGGAAGGCAGTCAAATGATTTTCCGAAATGTACTGCGCTATTTAACTGCGCAGTTATCTTCAAAAACTTATTTGACTGTCTTCCCGGTTGAATTTTTAGCTGAAATTTGGTATGGGTAAACTAGACTTAATGAAGAAGATGCTCAAAAAATTTAATCAAAAAATTCCACCGGGAACCGCCCCAATTGGCGACGACCGGGCAGAACCTCCTATATAAGGGGCTAATTGAACTCTTTAAGTTAGTTCATGTACCTATTTGACCCTTTAGCCTAATAAAAAATGCGTATGTACAAATATCTAATTTGAACTCATCTTTTAATCTCCCAAATTGTTGTTAGTTCCCATTTCTCTCTCTTCTACTCCTTGTTTACTCTCCCTAGTGTTTTTTGTGTTTCGAAAGTACCTTCAAGTAATGCTTACGAAATTGATGTAGTGTGTTTGATGTCTAATCCACAGCTCGCCAAATAAATCAGAAGATGCTGATATAGGACCCAGCCAAATGACATCCCAAATATCATCAACATTTGCAGAAGTCCTTGCAAAGGATACTGGCTTAACAGGTATCATGAGTGCTCCATTATAAAGCTGGATACAAAATAGTTTTGTTCAATGACTGTTAAGTGGTATTAAAATATTTTCATTGGCTCACAGATCCAGATACTTTCACAACCATGAAGTCTGTCACTAAATGTGTCAAGATCTTAAGTCCTGGTAATTACATCTTTTGTCATAATGATCAGACTATTTTACTTTCAAAAGTGAAGCTCCTAGAGTTTAATTGAGTTTTTGTTTCAACTGCAGTAAAGGCTTATGGAAGCTCAATGGGTCAGATGAATTGTAATTGATGTTTCCAAAGCCACCAGGGTTTTTTTGGGCGCTCAGAGGATCTATAGAAGATGCCGAAAGTTTATATTTGGGTCACATATATTAGTTAGGTCTAATGCACAGAGGTTTATTAGGCAGTGGTCACTAAAAAGGGTGATGTAACAAACTAAGTTACTGGTAGATGTTGAGTTTTATGCTCAGCCACATAACTCTTAATTTTATAAATTTAGCCTTTGGAATGCCTTTTTGCAGTTTTATTAAATATCAGTTCAAAAGCTCTTAAAGGTCCTATGTGTGCTGAAATAAATGTTTAATTTCAATATGATCCAATTGAAGTTTCATGATCCTAATCTATTTATGAGTTCGTATAAAACCTAGCTAATACTCAGTATTGCCTGATAAGCTAGTTTGAGGCACTTGTAAATAAGGATGTTTGCACAAGTGATCTAAGTTGTGGCAAGATCACCCTGGGATAATCCTCAACAATGTCAAAAAAGACATTGTCCATGTGGTTTGTAGATCCCGAATACGTATCCAGTAATCAAGGAAGTATCAGTGTATCAATATTAGAAGAACTAACAATGGAATTGAATACCACAATGTAGTTCTAAGAGTTGTTTTTACTACAGCTCCTCTTTCTTTGACACTGCAATACCAGTCTCCCTGCTGTGGAAAACCAGCTTAAGTTGTGCAGCTCTAGAGTTAAATGAGAGTTAGCATATATATTGTTAAGTTATCTGCATCAGTAAAATATACTCCGTATATCTTTGGATAAATCGGAAAAGATCATCAGTAAAATATATACATCACAACTTAATACACAAGTCTTTGAGCTCTAATGTTTGAGTTTTTACCCAAGCCTTAATGCTTACCTGATTGTAGATCACATCTATCTTCTTTTTAATCGTCACGTTCCACATTGATGTTTCCCTTAGCTCTGATGAGATTATTCATGTCGGAACATTGTAGCATCAATGTGCTCCGGCTGCACCGATGATAGTTGAAATCTGTTTACTTAGATTTGTAAGTATGACCCAAAATTGCTACCATTCAAATCTACTATATTGGTGCTTGGTCCCGGAGTTGCAACTGGTATAATGCAACCAGATTACATATAGGGGTGTTTGGAACTGATTCTCTTCTTTTTTAAAGTAAAAGTAGAATCAGATTCAGTTTTCAGAAGTACTTCTGCACTTTCACTCAAACATTCCAACTTTTGCTTCTGTTCACTAAATGAGCAAAAACCGTTTTAAGAATCATAGTGGCAATTTTGAGTCATACTTACAAAAAGGGCCTTTTTTGTAAAGCAAACACTTATATAGTGGAAAAAATAAAGGAAATATGATCATAAGTTAATTTCAATAATATGTATGATCACTATTACAATGTCTAAAGTTTGAATGGAAATTGTAATATATGTCAACAAACAAAGTTTATTATTGGATTAAATCCATTTAACTGTTTGAGAGCTTGGGTGAGTGCGTGACTGGATAGAACGTTGTTGTTTTTGTACCTTAGTCAATCGACCAGTGCGTTGCACTGATGACGGAAAAAATAAATTTACTTTTGAAAATAATTAATGACATAAGCAATGTGTGTATGCATACTTATAGTATAAAAATTAAGCCATGCTATAGAATTATATTAGAATACAGGTATGATAATTTTGTTTACAATATCCATGATAATTATTAGAAACACACTAATTGATATAAAGTCATCACTTAAACATTATTCCATCTCTGATTTATCTTGAATAATAGTGAAGATGATCACAATTAGTATCATATTACACTATCATATTATATAACGATAATTGTATGTGATGCTTATTCTATACATTATTTTTATTATTCTCGGATAATTGATATATGTAATGATTATGAAAAGTCATTTCTTCATTTTATGAATAACAAAATGTGTCAAAATTTGAAGTTGGTTGTGTATTTAAAGTTTCTAAATATGTTCCATCTAGAATATGAAATATTTATTCTACAATATCTCTTTTCAGCTACCTCGCCATATGAGCTATACAGACTGCAAATATAAAGATAAATATAAGTATAAATCATGGAGTTCAAATTTATCGAGATAAGAAAGAATAAATCTTTATCTTTATATATATATAAAGAGAAAATGGTGGAGATCCAAATAGAAAATCATTTGGAGCCAAATGAAGTGAAACATTGTTGTTATAATTAATCAAGCATTACTTAATCACTCAATAATTAATAATGTTGTCAAAAGAAGTGAAATAATGTTGTCTTAATTAATGAAACATTATTAATCACTCATTGATTAATAAAAATCAATGATGAAGTATAAGCAAAATTAATAGTCTTCCAAAAAAAATTACAATTAACAATTGTAAGGTACAAAAAAATATTAGGAAAATGAAGATAAAGACAACAAATATAAATAAAATTATTTTTTGAAAGACATAAATAAAATTATTAGAAAATATGAGAAACATAGACATGCAAAATTAATTAAGAGGCATAACATAATAAAGATATGAAAATTAAATGTTATGATTTCAAAATATAGAATAGAGTACTACAATATATTTGAGCACGATGAATCCGGCTATGAACATTGTATAAAGTACAATAAAAATAAATTAATACTCCCCCATAAGACTTAGCCAGAATATACTGCATGCGGTATTTGAAAGTAAATATTCATGGTTGAGATTTGGGCAAATTGAGAAAAACAACTTTAACCACAAATTTTGTTTAGAAATGACAAAAAAAATGTGATGGTAAAATAGAAATATTAGCAAAGTTTTACGGGGGATTAATTATTATTGAAAATAAGCTACAAAGTAAAATAAAAAAGACTATATTCATATAATTCTACTATATATATATATATCAATTGGTAAGTAAGTATTTTTAAAAATAATTCAATTGTATTGAATCCACACAAATGGATTATGATTTTACTAATGCAAATTAACAATCGTAAATTGAATTTATTTGAACAAGACATTAATTGTATGACGAGCAGTAAACAATAATCTTTATAACAACACATTTAAAAAGTATAAACGGGTAAATGCTATGAACCCTACTAATGTGTTAGGATACCATATTTACAATGGGTAACATTTATCATTTAAACACGAATAAATGGTAAATAATGAGATTTTTTTTCTAAAATAATGTTAAATAAAAAAATATATACAAAATTAGGGGTGGGTTAAAACTAACCAGTTGGAACTGACCAATTGGAAAATGGAAATAGTTCATGGATCCAAAGTTTAAAAAATCCCACTTTTTCTTTAAATTGTTATAAGTTTTTTAATTATAATCCGATTTTTATAAAAAGTATATCCAAATTCGTAACTTTTTATTCAATATATTCAATAAGTATATAAGGACTTATTTGACCCCTTTTTTGCAACTTCGAGGACCAAACTGGCCCTTATCCCTATATAAAACGCAGTATGTTTCAAGAATTATTTTTAACTATCTTCCCGATTGAATTTTGAGCTGAAACTTTGTATGAATAGACTAGACTTGATGAGGAACATGCTCAAAAACATTTCATCAAAAAATTCCACTGGGAAGACCCTCTGATGGTGTTGTTTGCACGGGGGTTCCGGTCAGAACGTCGTGACAGGAATTGGACATTTTTTATGAAATTTGAGATGCTTCCGAGTTGATTTTGTTGATGAGTATAATGATTTTCTAACAATAAATAAATGCCGGAACCGGCCCGGAACCGCTGCCTACCCGGGTCGGTTCTCCCTTCCCCAAAAAAAAGCTCGGTCGGGCCCAGGCCCGAACTGAAACCGGCTCGGCCCGGGTCCATACTACTCCACCCTGACCCCATCCCCCAACCTACCCCCAACCCATTCCGCCCCAGCCCCTTACCTACCCCCTACCCCTTTAGGGGGTACTACCTTCCTCTAACTCAATCCCACTCGACCCCTACCCATCCTACCCTACTTACCCCACCTCCACCCCACCTCGTACCTCTTCCCTACTCTGACCCCACCCTTTTACCCCTACCATCCACCAGCCCCTACCTCGACCCCATCCCCCCACTTACCTTAACCCCCTAACCCTTACCACCCCTAACCAACCCCCCTTACCCTACCCCTTTACCCCATACCACATGCCCCTACCTCGACCCGACCCCACCCCTAACAGGTAGGGGTTACGAGGGGAATAGGAGAAGAGGGTAAGGTCGTGGTTAGAGTAGGGGTAAGGAAGAGGTAGGGGTTAAGGTTGTGGGGGTAGGGTAGGGTGGGGTAGGGGTTAGGGTACCTCCACATATTATGTTATGTACTTGTGTTCATGAATGTTTATGTGTCTATAAATGTATAGAGTTATTTTGGACATTTTAATGTTAAAGGGGTGTTTTAAATCTTTTGAAGTAAACATGTTCTTATTACAACATTGCTTAATTATACGCCGCTTATTAATGCGAGTTTTAATAAACACCGTTTAGTGACCCGTGAAGTAAACTTGTTCTAAAAGTTGTCAGCTATCAATGAGCCAGTGATAAAACTTAATTGAATCTCGGATTTTAGTATGGTGATATTATCAATGAGCCATAGGTGAACCATATATTTCTCGAAAAATTTCACCAGGAAGACCCTCTGATGGTGTTGTCCGCACGGGGGTTCCGGTTAGGACGTTGTGACAGGAATGAGACATTTTTATGAAATTTGAGGGGCTTCCGAGTCAAGTTTTTTGATAAAATTTGGTGATCGTGTTCATCCTAAAGTGTAGGTTATGTCCACCGAATTTCAGATTAAAATTAAATCAGAAGTTAGTTAAATAATTTATTGAAAAAAACTGTATTTTTAGGCCGAAATTTTTTGCATTTTTTAAAAAATTTATTTAACTAGCTTTCCGATTGAATTTCAATCTAAAATTTGGTGGACATATCTACATTACATGGGAACATGCTCACCAAATTTTATCAACAAATTTGACCGGGAAATAGCTCAAATGAAATAGGCCTAAAATTGCAACTTTTAGACCTGACCCAATATCGAATACTAGTAATAAAATCAGCAAAGGAGCGTTCTCCTGTGTTTCCAGACATATTGAACTCCGCATATTCTTGTACATTTTAAAAGTGCTGATTCCTTAATAGCACTTTTTTCTTTTTTATATTATCAATATTGTACCGAGGGTGTCTTTTCTTTAGAGTATACCCAATCAGTATAGCATCCTGCTTCTGACGCAGCAACGTATTTTGAATTGAAAGTAAGTGCTCAATTTCTTATTACTTCACATGAACATTTTCAGAAGGCATGTGACAAAATTTTTGCCAAGAAAATTTTAGAAATTATGCAACTAAATCGTTTGGTATGTTAATTCCCGGAAGCAATAT